TCCCAGGCTGTCCCGGCAGGTGTCCCGGTCCTCTACACACTCCCACCCAGCCCCCACCTAGTCAGACGTGGCTAGATGCGCGGTCTGCCATTGACCACAGTCCCCCTCGCTACCGAGGGGGCTTGGGCAGAGGATGCCATGCCAGCATGCTCTTCCCTCACTCATGCCTCTGGCCCCAAGTTCCAGGGTGGCATGCAGGGCCGAGCTCCTCTCCTCGTGGGGCTCTGGTACCTTCCCCCTGCAGTGAGGGCAGCCAGCTTCTCCTCCCCAGGCTGAGGTGGGGAGGGGTCGTCCAGGATCCTCTGGAACTGCATCTCCAGGTCGCAAGGCTTGAGCAGCTGGGAACCCTCGTAGAGCCACACCTTGAAGAAGCGGCCCTTGTGGTAGACAGCCACGTGCCTGCTGTCGGAGAGGTGCTGCAGCAGGTCTGGGACAGAAGCCGGGGAGGGCTGAGGCAGGGCACACCTCCCTGCTCCCACTCCACCCCAACAGCCCCATGAAGCACTGCACAGAAGAGGAAGCTGAAGCTCTAGAAATTACACACACTGGCCCGCCGTCAGAAACCAGGCCCTCTGCAAGCAGCAACCCCTGCTCTACAGGCCCATGAAGGGCTCCTGGTAAGCTCCACCCCTCCTGCTACTCCTTACTCAGACTACCTTCCCCTGCCCTGGAAGGCCCGGAGAGCAGGGGCTCCGTTCCGGGCCCCACAGAGTCCCAGCACCAGCATCGTGCCTGTGAACAGGAGGTGTCTGGTGTTGGTCACAAACCAAATACTTTTGCCCATTACGTGACCCTGAGATGCCCAGGACGCTTGGTGACGGGCGAGGAGATAGGAGGGTGCCTGGCCATGGCAGGCCCAGAGCTGGGAGGGAGGGGCCTCCGTCCTGATGGCCCCAGCACTGGCACCTGGCTGTGGCTCAGTACCTGACTCCTTGCCTGGGATCCGAGTAGTGTTGAACATCCTCTCCATCTGGTAGGAGCACATGGGTACAATGCCCAGGGCCATCACCTGGGAGGAAGGCACAGCATGGCTCAGACTCGGGCCTCCTCTCCTTGTTGTGCCCTCAACCCCACACAACTCACAGGCTTGATCTCTTCACGGTCCAGTTTACGGCGATACATGATCATAGCATGGACGATGTTTCCCAGGCGGGCTGCCTGTATATTTGTATTCTTGATGAGCACAAATTCCTGCAGAGAGAGAGCAGAGCCTGCACGTGGTGTGACAGAGATGCACGCAACGCCTCCCTGTCCTGGTGTCACCTGGGTCTCCCTGCCTGAGGACCTGAGGGGTCCTGACCCCTTTCCCCAGTCCCTCCTGCACACACGGTCAGGGTGCACTGCTGGAGATGAAATGCATAACTGATCACGTCATGCACCTGCCCAGCTTGAATCTTTGGAGTTGTTTTCTCATAACCTATTTTATTTGTTTGTGTTTTGTTTATTTTGCATTGAGAAAGGAGTTCCCACAACTGAAAAACAGTTTAAAACCTCTGACATGGACAAGCTGTACATAAGTAGTTGGCTGGACAGCTTTGTGGAGGAGGGAACTTTGGCACATGACTTGGAATGTGTTTTGGACAGTGGCAGAGGAGGAGCATGCTGGGTAGACCTGTGACTGTGCAGAGGCATGTGCTGGGAGCAGGAGAAGGGCTGATCATGTGGGGTAGGGGCTGACAGTGACCTGGGCTGGGCAGGGCAGTGAACCCGGGGGACTCTGAGAGTGACAGTGTTAGGCGTGGGACTACTGGATTCTCCAGATCCTCAGTACCCCTGCTGCTCTGAAGCTGCTTCCTGACCGTTCTTCCAGGATCTCCCCCATCTTCCCAGCCCCCAGGCCCGCTCGCACCATGACGTAGTAGTTGCTGTTCACCATGAGGGGCGCCCTGCTCCGCAGGTACACGTACTCTTCCCACCAGTCACTCACCTGCGGGAAGGGAGGAGTTAGGGCTGGGGCAGAGGGCAGGGGACAGATGCCCCTGACACAAGGGGGCTAAGGGTAAGCCCAGGAGGGGACTCACATAGTTAGTTGCCCACCATGACTTGAGGACCAGGTACTTCTGCAGCCTGGGGGCAGTCTTGTCCTGGAATTCCTTGGCCAGTGTCTCCATTCGGTAGTATTCCTCATCATCCATCAAGGGCCGCACAGATTCCAGGTACTGTCCAGCCAAGTCATTGTCAGTGTGGGGGCCAAACAGCAATGACTACCTCTGTCCTGACCCTCTGCCAACCCAGCCCCATTGCTCTCAACCCCGCTCTTTGCAAGGGACAGTCCCTTATTCTGGAGAAGTCCCCTGAGTCCAGCCTAACCTGCCCAACTGGGATATCTTATTCAGGCCCTTACCCGCTGAATTGTGGCCGGCACGCTAGGCACGGGAAGCTTGGGCAGGGATGTCTGGAAGCTGTAGAGCATGGGCCGCCGGCTGGACAGGAGGCGGACACAGATCTGGGCACACAGAGCAGAGAATGTTTCTGGTGAGAACCAGGGGAAATAATGGAAACAAGTCGCAAACAGTTGAGGAGCTGGGCCCCCGACCCTCAGAACCAAGACAACCCTATGCACCAGGGACCAGTGCCCTGCCTGCCTCCCCCCTCTAGCTTAGAACCCAAAATGAGGCCCCCGGAGTCTCAAACCAGATGCCTGAACCCGTTCACTGGCTTCTGCTCACAGCCCAGACTTTGGTGAAGTGGCTGGTCCGGCCATGCATCTCAAACATCCAACCATGGTAGGAAAGAAGCAGTTTCAGGGTTTGGCGGAAGAAGAAGATGCCCATCATCCAGACCCCCGTGGAGAAGATGGCCATGCTGAGAAGTGCCCGGGTCTGTGGGGTCCAGTAGGGGCCACATCTGTCAGAGAAGGGACAGGGCTGCAGGGGATTCACTTGGGGTCTGCCTCAGGGAAACTCTGACTGCAGTTTTGATGGTTGTGAACCAGCTTGGGGGAGGCGTGGATGAACATTCCTGGGCACACTCATGTCTGAATGCATTACTACCAACTTACAAAATGTGGGACTCAGATGATGGTGGCCCCCAGGGAGGGCTGCCCCTAGGACCTCCAATGGCTATTATCCTGTATGTGCCCAGCTCAGGAACCCTGGCCTTGGAGCCTGCCCAGCCCTCTCTGGTAGCCCTGCTTCTTACCCCTCAGGGAGGCATTTCTGGATATAGCAGACCAGCCCCATGGAGATGTCCATCTTGCAGTAGGAAGAACCCACTGTTGCCATGACGACGACCAGCCAGCTGGTGGGGCTGCCAGGGTACACACCCCTAAGGATGCCATTCTGTGGGGCAGAAAGAGGCACACTTACAGCAGGAGTGATGGTCGTGAGCAGGCACCTGTGAGGTCCTGGTCTTTGCCTGGGAGGCCTTCTCCCTCCCTCACCTGCTGTGCTCTTGTTCCTCCTTCTGTCTGGTCTTCCCCTCCTCCCCACTCCCGTCCCTGCAGCCCCCACTTGCTCACTGGGTCCCACTGCTACTCCTTGCACGCCCTTCTCTCCTCCGCATCTTGATCACCCCTCTGGTTTCTGCCCTGCTAGGGCCGGTCACCCAGCCGAACTGCCAGCCAAGGTGGGGTTGGGAGGTCTTGACCATGGGGCAGCTGCTGACACCTGGCCTCTGCCTCCGGGCAGACTCTATTCTGCACCTGCTGGGAGGAGGAAGCCAGAACCACCTGCGCCCACCTTGATGCGAATCAGGCGTTTCTTCCAGGAGTTGATCCCGGACAGGTAGATGTGTTTCAGGGCCTCCCGACTGAGCCGGAAGTCGACCCCATCTGGGGTCACCGTGAACTGGAAGGCCACAGCCTGGTGCGCTTCCGCCATCCTGGAGGTTGGCCGTCACCTGGGAGGGGGCAGGAGGGTGCGCGGGCGGGCTCAGGCTGGCCCCATCCCCGGCCGCCCTCAGCGCCGAGGCC